ATCCATTTTGGAAGAAGTGCAGCCAGAGTGCTCCTTGGAGGCCAAGATAGCCAAATTTTGTCTCTCATACTTCGGACATATTGTCAGGAGGGACCAGTTGCTGGAGAAGGTAAGGTGTTTGGTAAGGTGGCGGGTCAGAGAAAAAGAGGAAGACCCCCAACAAGATGGATTGGCCAAGTGGCAGCATCAATGGGCTTAAACATGGCAACAGTAGTGAGGTTGGCCCAGGACTCGGCAGTGTTTCGTTCTGCTGTGCATAAGGTTCCTATGGGTTGGTCCTGACTCGATGGCACCTAACAACAACAATTATAATACAGATAAGTAATTTCTTAAAGCTTATATTAAATACTCACTCAGTGTATTTTTAGTTGTAGATTCAAGAAATTATGTTGTTAGTTAATGTCACATTTTACCCTAAGGGTGACTATATTTTAGAATAAGACTCTTACTTCTGGATAGTGAGTTTGCATAGTGTTTTCAGTCATGTTGCTCTATTTCTATTCATTATGATAAAATAACACAGTTTTTAAATACAATTATATGCCATCTATAAATATTATTTGCTAAAATATTCATTTATATATTTGAAATGAAGATAATTCTTGTCCTGTAAATAACTGTTTTGTTTCATTATCTTACAAAAGTGTTTTGGTTATAGTCATCTAAGTAAAACTCTTAAATAATTGAACTGTAATATAACTTTCTGGCAAGCATGAGGGATACCTTATAAGTTTATCAAGTATCACCAAATTTGTTTATATTTTCTTTATAAAACCAATGAAGTATAGCCAATGGTAAGATGAAACCAATAACACCAACATGTTTAGCAAGTGTTTTCTATGGTTGGGTTCTGTAACTAGCTAAGTAACTCATTGTTACATTCTTGTCTCACTAAAACATACCTTAAAAATGACCCTAATATTTGCAGGTTAGGAATCTTAAAGTAAACCAAAGTCATTAAAAATGTAAACTTTAAACCTAAATATTTCAAGAACAGTATTGTCATTCTTCAAGTGGCGGGACACATTCATCTGAAAATATAAACTTCAAAACAGTCTCTACATCATTTACTTGGATGTCCACCTCTGGCAAAGATGGAGTAATAGGCATCGGATAACTCCCCTTTCTAAAGCAAATAATATGACAGATGTTGTTGTTGCTGTTGATAACTGCTGTTGAGTTGGTTCCAGCCCACAGCAACCCTGTAGAGGATTTCTGAGGAGTGACTATTGGGTTTGAACCACTGACCTTGTAGTTCAAACTGACTTTGCAGTCCAGAGCATTAATCCACAGTGCCACATCAGGATTCCCAATCAGACAGATGAGATCCATGACATAATAGTTTCCAAGGCACTGATCATCTTTCATTGATGATCTGAGGTGTAGGCACATCGGATACAAACAAGGCAAGTTGATTTTCTTAACTTACTGCCTTGAATTTCCATACTAAGATGCAGAGTTGGAGTCTAAGTGAATCCTGGCAGACTCACTGAGATTAGGATATGGAGCAGAGATTTCAGGGAGACTAAAGTTCACTGGACAAAGTGGTAGAGAGTAAAGAAGTGAGCAGAGAGAACTCTGGAGCTCTTTGGAGGGCCCGTCCTTCCTTGACTATTCAGAAGAATATTGATCAAGGCATACATGTATGATGTACCATACATACAAAGATATTATGCATAACTGAAATTCAGAGAGAACAGGGCCCAGAACTTATGCAGTATCAGGAATAGGGTCTGTTCCTACCAGCTAGAATGATAAGCACTTTATCATAAATGGGCACCATTTAGGCTTTTAAGAAGAGTCTTGTCTCAGTGGTGATCCCAGTAAATTGTTGAAGGAAGATGTAAAAGAATCACACTGTTGATAAGTAATGTAACTATACCAAAGCACACAATAATTTTTATAGGAACACAAAAAATATTGAGCACTCAGCTAAGTACAATTAACAATGTCTGCAATGTATTTGATGATGTCCAGGTATCAAAAATAAATGAAAAATAATGGAAACAGGAATGTATTAGTCATAACGAAGAGAAAAGTCAATTAAAAACAATTAGAACTGAGAGAGATAGGATAAGCAGACAGGGGATATTAAAAGGTATTATAACTATATTGCATACAAGAGGGCTTCAAAACATTCATGGAAAAATTGAATGGAAAGATAATGGAATTTTTCCACAAACTTTTGAAGTCACCTTATATATTCAAAATGTTAATTGGACACATAGGAATGTAAAATAAATATCCAAATCAAATATTTAGAAATCTCTAAGATGAAATACATATGGTGAGATTAACAGTAGACATTTCAGAAAAAAGTTCATAAACTTGACAACATAGTTATGGAAACCAGGAGTTTGCATGTGTCCTTTCTGGTTTGCATTTTCAGCTGATAATATGCATTTTCACCAGATATATTGAATTAGAATCTACATTTTAACAAGAACTCTTTCATAGCCTTGATAGGAGCTATTCAAGTTAAACTGTCAAGCTGATTCAACACCTCAAATGGGAATACAAAGGATTTAGAACAGCCAAAGTAGCTTCTGAAAAGGGCAAAATTGGAGAGTTATCACTACTTTATTTCAAGAGCTAATTAAGAAAATGTAACATTGGTGTAAAAATGAGCAAATAAATGAGTTGACACAAAGTCCAGAACCACATTCACTAATACATGGACAATGATTTTTGACAAAAGTGCAAAGGCAATTAAGTGGAGAAAAGGTGTTCTGTTCAACAAATAGTGCTAGAATAATAAGATACCCATATACAATTAAATGAATCAACACAAACTCAAACCTTACACATATGTTAACCTAAATGTAAAACCTAAAACTATAAATCAAAGGGCAGCTCAAGAAGACAAAGTCAAATACAAATGTGCAAAGAGTTGGAATTAGAAACCAAAGGAAAACATGCTCACCATTTCTCAACCTGAAGGAACTGAAGGAAAATTCAAGCCTCAACTTGCAATATTGAAGGTTTCTAAAGGCAAAATATTGAATGATGCAGAAAACACTAAAAGAAGATAAGAAATGATCATTGTTCTACCATTTAAAAAGTAGCATATGATCAAGAGCCAATGATACTGAAAGAAAAAGTCCAAGATACACTGAAGTCACTGGCAAAGAACAAGGTGCCGGGAATTGATGGAATACAAATAGAAATATTTCAACAATCTGATGCAGCACTGGAGACACTCACTCATCTATGCCAATAAATTTGGAAGACAATTATCTGGCCAACTGACTGGAAGAGATCCAGATGTGTGCCTATTCCAGAGAGAGGTGATGCAATGGAATGTGGAAAATCATTGGGCAATATCATTAATATTACATGCAAGTTAAACTTTGCTAGAAATAATATAAAAATGACTGCAATCATGCATTAACAGAGAACTTCCAGAGGTTCAAGCTGGATTCAGAAGAGGACATGGAACAAGCAATATTATTATTGACGTCAAATGGTTCTTGGCCGAAAGCAGAGAATACCAGAAAGATGTTTACCTGTGTTTTATTGACTGCAAAGGCTTTCAATTGTTTGGATCATGACATGCTATGGACAGCATTGTGAAATATGAGTATTCTAGAACACTTAATTCTGCTCATGAAGAGCCTGTACATAGATCAAAAGACAGTTGTTCTAACAGAACCGTTTCAAATGAGGAAAGGTGTATGCTCGCATTGTATTCTTTTACCATACTTACTCAATCTCTGTGCTGAGCAAATAATCTGAGAAGTTGGATTAAATGAAGAAAAGTGGAATCAGGATTGGCAAAAGACTCACTAACAACCTGTGATATGCAGATGATACAACTTTGCTTGCTGAAAGGGACGAGGACTTAAAATACTGATTAAAGACCACAGTCTTTGCTATGGGTTGCATCTCAATGTAAAGAAAACAAAAATCCTCACCAATGAATCAGTAAAGAACATTCTTATCAATGGAGAAAAGATTGAAGTTATCAAGGACTTAATTTTTCTTGAATCAACCACCAACACTCATGGAAGCAGCAGTAAAGAAATCAAAAGACATATTGCATTAGGTAGCTCTTTTACACTGTTGTTGTTGTTATTAGGTTCCATCGAGTCGGTACTGACTCATAGCAACCTTCACAGCAGAACGAAACTAGACCTCTTTAAAGTGATGAAGAGCGAAGATGTCAGTTTGAGAGCTAAGGTGTGCCTGACCCAAGCCATGGTATTTTCAATAACTTAACATGCATGCGAAAATTGGACAGTGGATAAGGAAGAATGTAGAAAAATGATGCCTTTGAGTTAAGGTGTTGGAGGAGAATATTAAAAGTATCATGGACTGCTAAAAGAACAAACCAATCTGTGTTGTAAGCTGTACAGCCAGAGTCCTTGGTAGCCAGGGTGGCCAGACTTTGTTCTTATACTTTGGACAATTATCAGGAGAGACCAGTCACTAGAGAAATATATCATGTTTGGTAAAGTGGAGAGTCAGAGAAAAAGAGGAAGTGCCCCAACAGGATGGATTGGTACATTGACAGCAGCAATGGGTTCAAATGTAGCAATGATTGTGAGGTTCCCACAGGACTGGGTAGTGTTTTGTTCTGTTGTATTTAGAGTTGCCGTAAGTCAGTACCGACTTGATGGCACCTAATAACAGCACCAAGATTATAATATGTCTAGAAAAACAAGGCAGGAGAAAGTATTTGTGATGACAGCTTATGCAAAAAAAAATTCTAAGATACCAAAAGCATGATCAAAAACAAACTTGATGAATCATAGTTTGTTGAACTTAAAAATTGTGCTCTTCAAAAGATACTGTTGGAGAATGAAAAGACAGTTAGGAATAGATTGGAAAAGAATATTTGGAAAGCATGTATATGATAAATGAATTCTACACAGAATATATAATGAGCCCTCAAAACAAAGTAATCAACACAAGAAAATTATTTGAACATAAAATTCACCAAAATTATGCATGCAGAAAAAGAAAACATGAAAAGATACTCAACATCATTATTGTCGCTGTTATATGCCACAAAGTCAATTTTAACTCACAGCAATACCATATGACAGAGTGGAACTGCCCCATACAGTTTTCTAGGATTCAATTTTTATAGGTAGGTTAACAGTTTTAGATAGATAGATAGATAGATAGATAGATAGATAGATAGATAGATGATAGATAGATAGATAGATAGATAGATAGATAGATAGATAGATAGATAGAGTCCTGTGTGGTGCTGTCGGTTAATACACTTGACTGCAATATTGGTTTGTACACCAGTCACTCCTTGGGAACCTTATACAGGGTCACTGTGAGTCGGAACCTACTCAACGGCACTTAACAACATACATACATACATACATATATATATATATATATATATATATATATTGCTTTCTATACATATACATCTTAAGGCTTTTGAGTTATGGTGTTGGAAGAGAATATTGAAAATGCCATAGGCTGCCAAAAGAACAAACAGATCTGTGTTGGAAGAAGCGCAGCCAGAGTGCTCCTTGGAAGTCAGGATGGCCAAACTTTGTCTCTCATACTTGGACATAATGTCAGGAGGGACCAGTCACTGAAGGATATCCTGTTTGGTAAGGAGGAGTGTCAGAGAAAAAGAGGAAGACCTCCAGCGAGATGGATTGGCAAAGTGGCAGCATCAATGGGCTCAAGCGTGGAAATAATTGTGAGGTTGGCCCAGGATAAGCAGTGGACTTCTGACTGCAAGTTAGGCAATGAAATCTACTAGCCACTCCTTGGAAGCCCTATACAGGTTCCCTATTAGTCAGAACCAACTGGATGGCACTTAACCACAACAAAAGAGTTAGGTATCACAATGAGAGGACAGACACTAATAGTTGGAAATAACAGTTATAATTATTTTCCAAATTAAATCTAAAATTAGACCCATTCCCTATCCCGCGCCCCTCAGGTTTTCATGAGTAAATTGTATAGTGAACTTTATCCCAAAATATGATTTTTACTCATAGCTAACTATGGTAGCAGTTATGAGTTGGGCTGCTAACCACAAGGTCACCAGCCATTCCACTGGAGAAAGATGAGGTTTTCTGCTACCATAAATATTAACATCCTTGGAAACCCTACGCAAGGTTGCTATAAGTTGGAACCGATGCCAAGGCATACAACTACCACCTTTTGGAGTCCTGGTGTAGTGCTGTAGGATAAAGCACCGGATCACAAGGTCGGTTTGAACCACAAGATCTGTCTGTGTTTGCACTCACCAGTCGCTCCTTGGAAACACTATACAAGTCGCTATGAGCCGGAACCAACTCGATGGCACTTACCAACAGCAAATTTCCTTTTAAGGAGCTTTGGGAGTGTAGTAGTGAAGCTCTTGGCTGCTAATTCAAAGGTTGATGGCTTGAGCCCACCAGAGGCTCCACAGGAGTAATGACCTAGACAGCTGCTGTTTAGTAAAGATTTTTTTTGTTGTTAAGTGCTGTCAAGTTGGTCCTGACTCATAACAATCCTGTATAGGGATTCTGAGGAGTGGCTGGTGAGTTTGAACCACCGACTTTTTGGGTTAAACCAACCTTATGTGCTTGTTCTATAGCACCTCACCAGGACTATAGCCTAGAAAACTCTTTGGGGTTGATATGAGTCAGAAATGATTTGATAGTAGTAGGGATTTTCATTAAAAAAAAATTCTTTCATATCAGTTTCAGAAACAATTTTAGGTTTGAATATCCTTCCCTTTTCTAATGTCAATGTTTGTACATCAAACAAAAACCCAACTTGAATTTGACCTCTCTGGTACAATAATTATCTTATTGAGAAACTAGAAAATTAATTACAATCAATAAAGCTTAGCTTGTTATCTCTCAGTACCTGAGCTTCTTCCTGTTGCTTTTTAAGCTGTTCGAGCATCTGCTGAAATTCTGCCTCCTTTTGCTCTGCCTCTTCCAAGGTAGCTTGATTCTGTTCTTCATAAGCCATGGCCACCACAGCCAGAATCAAATTCACCAAATAAAAAGAGCCCAAGAAAATCACAAGGACAAAAAATATCATGTATGTTTTCCCAGCAGCACGCAATGTCTAGTGGGGAAAAACAGGACAATTAAATCAATATGTTAATATAAATAAATATTATTTATAGTATCCAAATAAAGAACTGTTTACCATAGTTAGATAGCAAGAAGGCTAATTATTTTTCATATCTAATGTATGTTGTCCAAGAATTTTTATTTTTTCCTTTTGCTATTAAAATGTACAAAAAATAATAGTGATTTAATTATCTGTGGCTTGACCACAGTATCATTTGATATAAAGTCACACTTACACAAATTAGTATACAATAGATATTTATTGAACCCCACTAAATATTTATTTTGGGGCCCATGATGCAGGGCTATATTGTGAGAGTATTGTATCTTTAATTTTTTTCAGTGTTCCACTTACATGGCAGCCTTCTCTCTACATCTAGATGTGATTTCTTTCTTCCCTCCTCCTCTGGCTCCAATTAACTCTAGCTTTCATTTGAAAATGTTACATAATTGCTTTTGTTTTTAGTTTTTCACAGGCTGCTTTTATCTCCACAAGGAGTTTATAAACCCCTCAAAGTCATAAATAGTCCTTGTTTTCCTGCACAGCCCTTACAGAATGCCTTTCATATATAGGACTGACAGAGCAGTTGGGGTCTTTGGCACACTCTATACTGGACCTTCTTCTACCACTTTCCATGATATTTTGGACCTTACCAACTGGTAAAGGTTTTCCCAGTAGTCTTGAGTCATGAGGCGAAATAGAGACAAAAAAGCCCAGCTAAAGGTGTCAAAGCTTGTGTAGCCATAGTTAGGGTTCCGCCCAGCTTTCACACAGATGTATCCTTCTGGACACTGTCTATAAGAAAGAGAGAGATGGCGGTAAGGTCAGAATTGGAATTTCAACTGATCTTGATTTATGGGAATTTTAAAAACCTGGGGTTGCTGTTTGTAATGAATTTTCTTGTCTTCATTTCCAGAACACATTATGCAATTGCTCACAGTGAAACAGTTATCAGATGAAATTTATTAGAAAAACCAACAGAAAACCTAGTTGCATAGAAGTCAGATTTATAGACATCTAGAATGGCAGAAAGGTACTCACCATTCTTAACATCATCAATATTGTAGTTTTTACATTAATGATTAAAAATTAAAAATCAAACAATAGCCAAAGTCCCTCATCTGATTATTCAGTAATGCTTGTCAGTAATCTCATACATGAGCCCTGGATATCCACAGACAAATGTAAAAACCTTCCCTAAAAGCCGAGACTGTAAATTCCAAAAAGGCAAGTTCCCCATTCCCCCCCGCCCCCCCAAAAAAATAAAAGCTAAAGAGGATAGAGAGAAACACTGTTAACTGATGATATATGGAGGGGATAATAATCAATGTAATGAAACAAGCTATATGAATGGTTGAATGTGAAGCTGATGATGTGCCCTGTAAACTTTCACTCAATCCACAATAAAAACATTTATTTAAAAAAAAAAAAAGTAGCCAAAGGTTAGGAAACCACCTAATATTTATCACTTCTGTCTTAAAAATAAAACTCATGTTTGAGCCAGAAAAATTATATAATACACAATGCTCATATACCTCATGCCCAGTATTCCCTATTATTGTTATCTAGCATTAGATAAGCACCTTTGAATCAATATTGATGCATTAGTAACTAAAACAAACAAACAGTTGCTGTTGAATCAGTTATGACTCATAGTGACCCCATATGTGTCAGAGTCAACTGTGCCCCATAGGGTTTTCAGTGGATGATGTCTTGGCAGTAGATCACCAGGTTTTTCTTCTGAAGTGCCTTTCAGAGACTCGAGCTGCCAATTTTTCAGTTAGTAGCCTAGTTTGCTCACTGTTGGCACTATCCAGGGATGCCCATTATAAACTGTTGTTAGGTGCTGCCAAATCAGTTCCGACTCTTAGTAACCCTTTAGTGGCTGATGGATTTTATCTGCTGACCTTGCAATTAACAGTCCAGTGCTTGTCCTACAGAGCCACACCAGGACTCCTTGTAAATTATAGCCCATACTTTGTTGTTTCCTCAGTGTTTCGCTAATAGCTTCTTCCTGTAACTGGATACCATTTACGATATCATATTGTAGTTAGTTGTTATTATCTCTTTAGATTCTTTCTGGTTGTGACCATTTCTCAGACTTTCCTTGTTTTCTGTGACCTTAACAGTGTTTTGTCAGGTGCTTTGTAGAATACCCTTCACTTGGAATTTATTTACTACTTTTCTCATGATTAGACTAGGGATATGGGTTTTGGGGAGGAAGACGACAGAAGGACAGTGACATTTTCACTACATCATATCAAAAGTGTCCGCTATGAACACGACTTATCACTATTAATGTTAACCTTGATCACCTGGCTTAAAATACTGTTTGTCAGGTTTTGCCACTATAAAATTACTGTTTTTCACCCTATCTCCCCTTTCTTACCTTATTCTTTGGAAGAATTGTACTATAAGCAATCTATATTTAAGGAATGGGGAGTTAAGATCAATCATCTAATGGAGTATCTACATAAATTAGTTGACTTTTTTTTCATTTGTACACAGGAAATTTGTCTATTCTCCCTTATGTATTTATTGATGCATTTGTTCAATCATTTAGTTTTATCAGTGTGTTAGTATTAACCAATCTTATACCCAATTTATATCAAGGCTTCTACATTAACCATAAAAAAATTAAACTGTATGAAACTCAATGGTTTACCAGGTGCTAGTTCAAGTGCTTTATATATATCAAATAATTATAGTCACAACACTATGAGAGAGAAACTATATTATTCTCCCCATTTTAGAGATGAGTAAACTAAGGTACAGAGAGATTAAGACCTGTCAGAGGTCAAAGAGTTGGTGAGTACTAGATTTGGGAGTTGTGCCCAGGTATATATGAAATCAGAGTCTTCGTGTGACACTGTAGAATAAGCACTGAATTGTTAACTGTAAGGTTGGCAGTCCAAACCCACCATCCATTCCATAGAAACGTTACACAGGGTTGCTATGAGTCAGAATGACAGGATGACCCTTAACAACAGCATGTATGAATTCTAGAACCTATTCCCTTAGCTACTACTATCTCTAACAAAAGCTGGGAAACTATTTGGAAAACTCGTTTTGCCAAAAAACTTTTTGCTAAATTTTAATGACTGTAATTTCTGAACCAATAGCAGTAAAAACTCTGTAATATATTCTTGTAAAGCTACTCTTGTATAATTTTTCCTACTTGCTTTTTTGCAAAACTTTTGACTATACAGCTAGTATGCATTTTCATTAAAACCCTTAGATTTTCATGGCCATACCAGTTCTCATTTTCTAGGATACATGAGAATATGTTGAAATTCCATGGCCTAAGAGTCACTGTTGCCATCCTTTGGATCTTAAAAAATTCTTGACATGCCTTGATTTAAAATAAAATTTGCAATGCTCTTAGGGAAGCATATTAGGAGTGGCAGATTAGCAGAATTGTAGAATGTGACCAAAAGAAAATTGTCAAGTATGCAGATTTAGACCTGGATATGCCTTTGGCATACATCTGCCTCATGGCTCCTTCAGGAATGCAGAAGTCCAGTTAATTGGGATATTCCATGAGATCATGGCTCTAAACCTCGAAACCAAGTATCTAAATCCTAGGAGATGTTTGGTTGTATATACACAGCCTCTGCAGCTACTTACTCGCTTTTTGTTTTTTCAATTGTTTTATTTTTTTAATCACCTTTTGTCATTGTTGTAAATATATTTATCATACAACTTTTTACAGGTACACAATTTACTGACAATAATTACATAAATCAGCTGCGTAATCTGCCCTAAGTCTATGTGGGGTCTTAAAAGTAGCCATCCATGCCAGTCTCTCATTCTCCTGGAGCAACAGAGGAAGAAGGAAAATTGGAAATAAAAGCAAGGAATGGAATCTGGGGCCAATCATTCCAGAAACAACTGGCTCCTTTCATGATATAAGAACAACCTGGCAGGACGAGCATTGGACTGGGAATCACAAGCCCAAGGGTTTGAACCCACCAACTGCTCTGTGGGAGAAAAATGAGACTTTCTACTCCCATAAAGATGTAAAGCTTAGTAAACCTTATACAGGATTGTTGTGGAGTCCTGGTGTGGGATAAGCACTGGACGGAAAGGTAGGCTTGAACCACAAGGTTGGTGGTCCAAACTCATTAGCCATTCCTCAGAAACTCTATACAGGGTCACTATGAGTCGGAACTGGCTCAATGGCACTTAACAACCACAAGTCAGAACTGACTTGATGGCACATAATGACAAAAAGAGCAACAATCCAAGTACCATTAGTGAACATTTAGACCAAAGAGTCTATAGAAGGACCCTGATCAAAAAAGGAAAGTGAAGAACAGAATTTCAAATTCTCATAGATTCCATACTTTCTGGTGTCATGGGAGCTGGATGAACCCTGAAACTGTTGCTCTGAATAAGCTTTAAATATTAAGCCAAAAATATTCCTTGAAGCATTCTTAAAAACAAACCATAGTCTAACTTAATGAATAATGGATGTTTGCTTGAACATTGCACTCTTTTAATATCTATCTATAAGAAATGAAATTGACTACAGAAACTAATAAGATTCTAGGAAACTTAAGGGACACTGCACTTATCTTAATAGGGAGGGAGCAACACAGAGAAGAGGGCTAAGAATAGTTATACGACTTGAATAGTGTAATGGCACTGAACTGTACATTTAGAAACTGTTGCATTGCTTATGTTCTGCTGTGTATATCCTTAACAACAATAAAATAAAATAAATTATTAGTGGAAACAAAAGAATACTGAAATTTCCAAAACTGTTTTCTCTCTGGGTTTGTCTGTCTCTGGATATACATATCTTACTTTATGTCTTGGATCTTTTACAACCACAACAAAACTCAACCCATCAAAACACACCCACGCCAATGAAATTGTCTTGCGTTCCTTCATTGGTTTTCCCAAACAGCTCTGATGTGACAGATTATAGGTCATAACTCTTTAGAGCAATATTTCAGGAGTATCCTAACTCTGAAATTCTGGACACAAATTCTTCATCCTAAGAGATTATTCTAATGGCTACTTTTAGGACTAAAGGTAGTCCAGTAAGACAATGAAGGTACTTCCTAAGTACACAGCACCATTCTGTTCTATCTATCTATCTATCTATCTATCTATCTATCTATCTATCTATCTATCTATCTCTATGACTACACTTGCATGTTTTTTCCTACCTACTTTTTTAGTTTTAAGTTTTATACATCTGAAAAACAAATGTAAAACACAAAAAACTCTTACCCTGCATCTGAACCATTTCCACAGAGTAATGGGTCTTTTTGTCCATCCAAAACATAAAAATGACCTGTTAATGTAAAGAAAAAAATATTTCATTTTGTATTATTCCTATCCCCATTAGGAATAAATGGGTGTTTGCCTAACTTGCTTGTTTCTAATGTGGACATCCATAAAATATGTTTACAAAGATGGCCTCAAATCTGAAGTCATAGCTATTTATAGTGGAAAACTTGTTCAGCAATATGATGGTTAACATAATATAGCAATATGTCTTACTGTCATCATCAATGTAATCCTTCCAATTAAATGTTCTCACTGTTATGTTAACAAATGTCCCATTTGAATCCACTGTGCCATTAAAGTAGGAAGTGATGTTAGTTTCAAAAGCAGAATCACTTGGGGGCCACTGCAAACATTTATTTCTCAGGTTGCCCATGAACAGCTGTAGTCCTATTAGTGCAAACACACTCAGACAGAACACAGTCAGGATCATGACGTCAGAAAGCTTCTTCACTGACTGGATCAGGGCCCCCACAATGGTCTTTAAACCTGAGAAGAGAATGATAGATACACTTAGAAAGTATACCACGAACATTTCTTGTTATTGTACACATGCATTTTCCCTCCCACAAATGATCAGTTGGGATATTTAGACACCAGAGCTTTATGGACAGCCTGACAGATAAAAAAATGGAAAATGATCCGGTTTTATTTATCAACATGTGCATTCTGGAGATTCAATATGAGTGTTCATATTTCTAGGCAGGATTTTTTTTTGGGGGGGTGCGGTTTATGTATTGCTACAAAATGTGAAAAAAAGTGCAGGTACTTTTCTTCTCAGATTTTGTATTTCATAAAGGTGTTTCCCTCCAACTCATTCTTTATACTAGTCTACAAGTAGCCATGATTTAGGAGAGAAAATAATTCTATGATAATAAAAATCCCATGCCACATGTGTGCTTTTCAATGACAATCTTTCTCCTTAGGAAAAGGAGATCTATTTTCAAAATAGATCTACAATGAATTATGGAATCCAGATCAATTAGTAGAGCCATGGTAGTAAAGCTTTTTCTAAATGCGAAAGAGAACACCATTACATTGCAAATGCAACAAAAAAATAAAAACAAAAGAGAACAGAACTAGTAATTTTTTTTATAGATGTCTCATGCAATTGTCTGTTAAACTCAAAGGCTGACTTTATAAATAAGCATGTCATATATACGATTTTAAGAACTCAACTGACATTGAAACATCATTTGGCATTCTGGAATTTGACTACCAAGAACACTAAGTAGTAAGGCTAATTAAGTGTGATTTCAATCTCAGTGTTATTATAAACCAAAACCAAACACAGTGCTGAGTTGATTCTGACTCATAGCTTCCCTAGAGGACAGAGTGGAACTGCCTCCTCTTTGTCCACTGAGCAGCTAGTAGGCTCAAACCACCAAACTTTTGGTTATCAGCCTGATGCTTAACCCACTGAGCCACCAGGATTCTTTGATATTATTACAGTATCTTTAAAGTCAGCCTCGGTGTTTAACCTAGCTCTCACCTGGAATGACTGAAATTGTTTTCAATGCTCGGAGAACTCTGAATGTTCTCAACGCTGAGACATTGCCCAGGTCCACAAACTCTGTCACATATCTGTAATAGGGGAGTTCACACACAAACACAATAACATACAAGAAAAGTTGGAGATATAAGGGGCCTGCCACCTTACACCAGTAACTTCTTACCTGGAATTACAGAAATAGTTTTCAGAGCTCTCAAGACTCTGAAAGTTCGAAGAGCTGAAACATTGCCTAGGTTTACAAATTCTGTTACATACCTGTAGAATTAAATCAGAGTTACTTACAGTATTGGAAAAGTTTTTACTAAATAAGGAATTAATGATGATTTTGCATATAGGGCCCCTTGAGTTTAACAAGCAGAATTGCAAGATTTATTGGAGCCACACACAGAGAAGTGAGTTTATGACACAAAATTATTTGCTTTATTTCAACATAACTGTCATTGATACGGAAAAAAAAAAAAATGTTTGCAAAACGAATCAAGATATAGTTGGGAGCTATTAAATTATAGTCAATGAGTAATCTCATTTTTTAAAAAAGAGAAAGGCATTCCATGTACGATGCATTTATCAGATTAAACTGTATTTAGCAATATATATTCCTACTTGTAATCTCAAAATATATGAGACATTCGGCTAACAAGAAAATCCAACTTTAAAAATATACACTACCAACCTAGTTTATACTGGAACTAAATTCATCCTTGAAGCTTATCAAGTTTCAAAAATACTCACGCCATCACAATGACACTAAAATCCAGCCAGTTCCATGGATCTCGAAGGAATGTAAAATTTTCTAAACAAAATCCTCTTGCCAAGATTTTTATAAGTGACTCAAAGGTGTAGATTCCAGTGAACGTGTACCTAGGAAAAGTGTTCAAGCAAACGTTAATAATTTCATTTGAAGTGGTACAGTTATTTTCAAATACAGCCAGTCCTTTTTCATTTTTTCAATCCACTACAATCTGAATCTTTATTTATACTTACTAATTAATTTAATAGCTTAATTAATTACAAGCCTGAGTAAAGGATTAAATTGAAGATAAAATATTGTACCAACCAAGCTTAATCTTGCTTAACTATTTACATTTTAGAATACTGGTTTCATGTGCTTTGTGGTACCATCAAGCCTAACCCTTTAGAGCAGCACTGTTCAGTAGAAATGTAATGCAACACACATATGCAGTTTTAAAACTTGTAGCAGCCTATAAAAAAAACAACAACTTAATTTTAATGTTATACTTTATTTAAACTAATACACCTAAAATATTTTTATTTCAACAATTTAGACTAGTTAAATTTTAAGTAGCTCCCAGTATGTTGCTGCAGGATAAAGACTGGACTGCTAAACACAAGGTTGGCGGTTCAAATTCACAAGCCGCTCAACTCTGTAGAAACCCTATACAGGGTTGCTATGACTCAGAATCAACTCGACAACACTTAACAACCTTATTAGACAGTAGTATATACCTTATTAGTATCTACCTTATTAGACAGTTCTGCATACAGTATTTCTTGGATAACTTTATTTGAAAATATTTAATTCATATTTTTCTTGATCATCCATTTTATTTTCAGGCAAAATATACATTTATAATCTGGAAAATATACTTCATAGCTTTCTTTGATTTTTAAGATAATAAAGATGCATCTCTCTCTCGTTAGAAAGACTGTCTACCCATCTATCTACATATAATCACAAGAAATATTTCATTTCTCTAGTATTTTATAAGTTATTGTTGTTGTTAAGTGCCATCCAGTCGCATCTGACTCGGAGCAACCCTGTATAGGGCTTCTCAGGAGTGGCTGATGTGTTTGAACTAACAACTTTGTGGTTCGAACTGAATTTATGGTCCAGCACATTATCCTGCAGTGCCACACCAGGAGTCCATTTTATATGTGTGATTACACAATTAGCAAAATTCAGGGAAAAAACAAAATCCTTGTGTTTAACATTTCATTAGCTACTAAATAAATCTATGTAATTGGACCAATCTCATTTTTACAATGTTATGTTCTTTTAAAAGTTTATTCTTCAGAGTACTTGACCCAAACCACAAAGATTTAGTTTTATTTCATCAAAATTCATTGTTTTTCAAACTTCTGGCATTTTATATAAGGAGTCCTGGTAGCACAGTGGGGTTATATGTTAGGCTGCTGACTACAAGGTTAACAGTTCGAATCTACCAACTGCTGGAGGGAGAAAGATGAGGTTTTCTGCTCCTGTACAAAGATTCACATTCTTGGAAACCCTATACAGGGTCGCTCCGAGTCAGAACTGACTTGATGGCAGCAGTATTTTACACGCAAAAAAGTTAGGGTAGTGATTTTTTATATATGTGGTAACAAAGAAATCAGGGGAAAATGTATGCAGAGTTCTACACATAGAGATTTTCACATCATTGCATTTCCACCAGTCCCTTTCTCTCTATATATATATATTTGAACACTGTTGACACTATGAAAAATAATTATAAACTTGTCTTCTTAATATGAAATAGCTGGCTTCACATTACTTAACTTGAGTTGTTGTTAAGTGCCGTAGAGTCGGTTCCAACTCATAGCGACCCTGCACAGGGTTTCCGAGGTTGTAAATCTTTACGGGAGCAGAAAGCCTCATCTTTCTCCTGTGGAACAGCTCGTAGTTTCAAACTGCCGACCTTGAAGTCAACAGCCTGATTCGTAACCACTACGCTACCAGAGCTCCTTACTAACTTGAGTAGGAAGACTCAAAAAAACAAAAACAAATAACCCCTACTGTCACTGAGTTGATTCCAACTTACAGCGACTTACAGAGTTTCCAACAGTTTATTAATTTTTACAGGAGCAGACAGCCTCATCATTCTCCTGCAGAGTGACCGATCTTGTAGTCAACAGTCCAATGATTGTCCGGAAGGTAGAGATATATTTTATTTCACAAACAAAGCTTATGTTTACTTTTGCTTTACTTTGATACTTTGTGTATTGAACTAATCATCATGCCAATTCTACTTGGAGAGATAGCTGGCCTCATGAAAGAATAAGAAATACTTTACGTATATATTGTTTACCATAGTCGTGGCCAGTGCCTGTGGTCTATGCTAAGACAATTTTATGAGTCCTGATTTGGCTCTGTGGGTTAATGCGCCAGACTGCAAAGCCGTTTGAACTTCAAGGTCAGCGGTTCTAGCTCACCAGCTACTCCTCGAAAGTCCTATACAGGGTCGCTGTGGGTCGGAAGCGACTCCACAGCACTTCACATCATCACTGTGGCGGAGTCCTGGTGTGGCTCTGTGGGTTAATGTGCCACACTGCAAAGCTGTTTGAACTGCAAGGTCGGCGGTTCAAGCTCACCAGCTGCTCCTCGGAAACCCTAGAGAAGGTCGCTATGGGTTGGAACCGACTCGACGGCACTTAACAACAACAGCTGTGAGTGGCATTGTGCATTAATGTATTGGACTGCAAGTTCGATTTGAACCCCAAGGTTGGCAGTTCAAACTCAACAGCTGTTCCTTGGAAACCCTAAACAGGGTCGCTATGAGTAGAAACTGACTCCCCAGTACTTAACAACAACAACAACAACAACTGTAAGACTCCAGTCCCTATTTCTTCTTGTTTTTGGAGAAGTAAATTTGTGGAGCTATTTGGAGTCTAGAGCTTAACATCTGATACAAAGTTCTGCAGAGACCAGGTGTTCAACCAGGCCTGTTAACAAGACTGAGCACTTAAGTGGGAATCAGGGGATTCAATACCTGATCCTGCTGTGGATTTGTGGGTTTGACCTACCGACCTAACGGTTCTCGGTCCAGTGCTGATCTTACAGTGCCACACTAGTAATTTTTAATTTATAATGATAAAAAGAGCACACTAAAAATGTTTTTTTTCAAATCTTTTCACTAAATTGTTCAAACACCTGATCATTATACATAGACTATACAATCAAAACACATTATTTTGTATGGAAAAAGCATGCTTTTTTTTGACATGAATAACCTCCTATGTGACTGACAAGGGGGAAATGTGATTGGTGTATGAACAATTTTGTCCAGCATATTGATGTTTTGAAACAATCAAGGTAAATTTTCTCACAGTTGAAGACAAAACCCTAACAATAAAAACAAAACAATAAAAAAGCAAAAACTCTTATTACTAATGATGAAAATTCACAGCATTTGTTCAAGCAGGGGTTGGCTTATTGTCTCAAGAACTACTGCTCTTAAATCTCTCTTCTTTTATTGAAATATTGAATCAATGTTTTGTTCTCTCTTCTTTTATTAAAATATTGAATCAATGTTTTGTTCTGCTGCAGGGATTCAAACCAGTTATTCCCAGCTCAATTATGACTAATGAAGTAATGCCAGAATGGATCCAAATTTGTAAAACATGGATGTGCTGGAACAATAACCACAATAGAAAAATGTATGGACTGGCACACTGCTGGAAATGTAATCTTCCTCTTAGAAAACAAGAGCAACAAGAGTGATGCACAGCAATCAAAACTCTTGACCAACAGGGTCTAAAACAACCAGGTCCAGATCAAAGATAACAGAGCTGACTCTACTGCTTTGAATGAGTGTCATGCTCCATGACTTGATAATTTGAAAACCCTGTCTCCTACATTAGGCTTCTGGAAAGGTTCACTATATCTTTCCCAAGTCTCACACTCCATGGCTTCCACTCATAACTTTTCCCATTCTGGCTATTTTTCTGTTTCACTGAAATGTTATAAATTCAGGTTAGTTCTGATTTTACTTTGTCAGCCATGTCTGAACTGGCTTAAACAGATCAAAGTCCTGCTTGAATGACACGATACAAATACCACCAAGACCTCTATCTCAAAGGGGGAAAGGCAAAGGTTAGATGTGAAATAGCAAAGGACTTTTGTTGTTAGGTGCCATAGAATCATTGTTCTAGTCATAGCGAGCAACCCTGTAGGATTTTTTAGACAGTAATCTTAAAGGGAGCAGATTGCTGGTAGTCCATGAATGAGCATTGTATGTACATTTAGATGAAAATATTAGTAGAGAGTCTGTTTTGGGGAGGATTGTCAAAATTTTTATTGTTGTTCTAAGTTATAAAGTTTCATAAATGTTGAGTGGTTTATCCTTAATTATTTTCCCCTTCAACTCTGTTATTTTTTTTTAAAATCACAGTGTTTGCAAACAAGACTTTTATTTCTTTTACAGACTACATTTAGATAATCTACAGTTCTAAATATAACACAGCTGTCTAAAATTTCAAATAGACAAATGTGTTTTTCCTAAAAATAACAAATAAATAACCAAAATGTCTAATATATGAATATAGAGTCAAACACCTAAATCTATTCCATCAAAATATAAAATAATATTTTCATCAAACTGGTCATATAGTCACTGTATTTTATGTAACATACATGACGGTGTCTTTACTTGTGGGTCAAATGAGGAATTTAGTTTACCAGCTGGTGTATACTCATTTATAACCTTTCTTATACAGATACAATCATTGAATTTCTTGGAAAAATACTTACCTCATTGAAGAAAAACTCCCCCAAAAAACTTTCCTTATCTTCTTTCATATTATGGAAATAATAGTTTCTTATACAAAAGTGTTTAGCCTGACTTCAAAAAGTGGAAGCCATAGTCAGATCACAACCGACTAGAGAATTGGGGTGCATATCTCCCATTCCAAGAAGTCATTCCTACTTACTCTACATTCTTTGTCCAGTCTGGAGGGTTACTCAAGGTCATAAATACACAGTTGGTCAAAATAGTGCACATGATAAGCATGCTGAATAAAGTGGATTATAGTTAAGGAATAAACGCTAGCACATTATCATGGCTATTAATACATTAACCAACACCAAAAAAATATTCTTAGTCAAAATGAGTTAACTCTGAAATTCATTTACTTATTTGGTTGAAAACAATGATAAAAATGATAAGAAACTTCAAAGTTGGTCATATATTCTTGGTCTACTCTTTTTAAATTTTTTAATTTAAAATTAAAAATTGTTAAAAAACTGAATTTAATATAGAAAGAGATCTATTTGAAGCAGAAAGGTATTGTTTTACATTCTAATCAGTTGTGTGAAATAGCATAAGAGAAATGATCATTCTACAGTAAATACATAGTATGATGAAAGTATAAAAGTTGTCATTGAAAATCTCCATTGAGCAACAAAAGGCTAATGAGTGGAACAGTATATTTGATTACATTGATTTTTTTTTTTTTTTTAACCCTGTATAGCTGAGAATTACAAAGAAAAATACTCTATTAGCCTTCTAGTAATGTAACTAGTTCTTTTAGGAGCTATATCATAAGAACAAAGAAAATTACTATTATTGCTGATAAATTAGTGTTATGTCTGACTTTTTAAATCTCCAGTTTAGACTGTGAAGGAATTCAAGTCATCTTGGGTCTAGTCCACACCATACCTAAACATGTGTGAGTTATATAATTCTTATTGACTTTCAATCCAGCATTCGCTAAAAGAGATTTAACCATATTTTGATGTAATTTTTATTGTATTTTAAAGTATAAGTACTTTCTAATATCGAGCCATAAAGTGAGAGAATTCAAATGTACCTTGGAAGGTTATTAGACCTGTTTGCTTGTCTATCCATTCATTCACTTTCATTTAGGCTCATTTATAACTTTTGTAAATTAAATAATAAAATGCCCATTCTTAAACTCTGACTCAGAAGATCACCTTCTTATTTCATTCTCATATGAGAACTTTCTTATAATCCACACCAATTCAGTCCTTTCATATACACTTTTTCACTGTCATCATTATAGTTTTAAGTTTAGCAACTTTTTAATATATATTAAAACCCAGGCACATTGTAGGAGCTTAGTAAATATTTACCAAATGCATGAACTAGTGAATGAGCCAGGTGCTCGAGACACAGAAACAATTGAGCATTAGGTAATACAGATCATAACACTAACATAAATAGATTATTTTTCTTTAGTAATGGTTATATATGATCTAACTGAGGCTAATAAAACTCTGAAGGAGATTTACTGTTGAATCTACTATTCAAATATGCTTTACTTACACAATCACAATCAGGATTACATTTTTCCTTCATAATAGTCATTATTCAATAATCTTGCTATAAACTGCAAAGAACCTATAAGCACAAATTAAATTAACAATGCTATCATTAATATCTAAGGATATTATAAATGTTTAAAAATAAGAATGACATTTTATTTAAAACCAAGAAATGTTAGAAGGAGCACTTAGACAATTCACATGAAAAGGATATGAATGTACCAAAATCTTAATAGCAATTTTCCTAACAGGGTTTAGTGGAGTTAAAATATACAAGGCAGAGGTGGCACTGAATCGGAAAATTGCCTTCCCTTTATTCAATACTATAAAAGTCTGAAAAAGAAAATATGAGAAAGAAATTACTAAATTAGACATGTGGCTTATCTGAAGAGTTAACTTATAAAAAATGTTTACTTGATTTTTTAAATAAAAAATCATTGGTTTAAATCAGTTTGCATATGGTAACTATAAACATATTATTTCTCTCTTAAGTTAGCATATAGCTGTAAAGAAAGACATGGTTTAGTATTGTAGCGTAGTGGTTATGAATCGGGTTGCTAACCTCAGGGTCAGCAGTTCGAAACTACCAGTTGTTCCACAGGAGAAAGATGAGGCTTTCTGCTCCCATAAAGATTCACAGCCTCAGAAACCCTGTACAGGGTCGCTATGAGTCGGAACCGACTACACGGCACATAACAAAAACAACAGTCTATCTCTAAGGTACAAATTTACTAATATAACTTAATGTTCCTACACATTTAATTGTTTTAGGCTTTAAAAGTTAAACCAAATTGTCAGGCGCCTTTACAGATTCCAATTCTATTTAAAGCTTCCCATCTGTCATCAGCTTTGATAACATTTAAAATTATTCTACACACATTGGCAAATATAATTTTTTATAAATATTTTAAAGACAACAGATCTTTTAACTCCAAAGTTTATAATGGCTTCCTACTGTCCCTAAAGTACTTCCTGCTCTCTGCTTTGAAACCGATAAACATGTTGTCTTGAGTCTATAGATAAGCTGGAGTCCTGGTGGGACACTGTAAGGAAAGCACTGGACCCCAGGTCAATTTGAACCATGAGGTGGCAGTTCAAATCCACCTTGGATATCCTATAGAGAGTCACTATGAGTCAAAAATGACTCCACAACAACAATAACAGAGATATGCTGGTAACACTAAGAAGGGGCCGATTCAGTATAAATTAGCCTTAAACACATCATTGCTCCAGTATTCTATTTCTAAAATCTTACCATTTGAAATCTATGAGCATCAATTTAGCATTTAAGCTATGGTACTTAGTGATTACCTGCTATGCATCTTTAGGATTATTTAAGTTTTATTCCATTGGAGGCCCTCTTGCTCCAGCCAATTCAACCCACTTGCCAATCTCAACCACAACTTGTCAACCTTTCCCTCTGTAAATCTGAAAATAATGAATTTCATAGAATCCTAGAGTAAAGTGATGCCTATGAGATCATCTCACCTGAATTCTCTCCCATTTTAGTTCATTATAAGGTTCCTCTTAGAATGACCCACTATTATAACATTTCTTAGTCATGGCTGCCTATTGGAAATTCCTGTGGAAATTTTTAAATTGACAAAGTTTTTTTTTGTTTTTTTGTTTTTTCATTGTAGACCAACTGAATCCAGAAAGTCTGAAAGAGGGGCATAAATTGGGGTGCTAAACAAACAAACAAAAAAAAACCCTCATGTTATTCTAGTGTGCAGCCAAGATTATGACTCCCTGCTCACTGAGAATGACTTTAGCCATCAAAATGATCTCCTCAATCAGGTCTTTCTGGATAAATCACACTGCCTTTTGATCATTCCCCAATTTCTTTCTTTTACCAGTAAGTCTTAGTATATTAATTTGCACTCGTTTACATGTTGCTTGTAATTATAGTCAAGTAGCAATTTACATGTAGTGTTTGTTCCCTTGAGAACTAGGTTAGAAATTATTATAAACCATTGAGTATAAAGAGTCTGTAATCTACTTTTTCTCCATTTTTCACAGTGCTTAATGGCACAGTTTGCAAATGAATACTTGTTTTAATTAAATGTAGGTTTACCTTTTAGATGCCATTCACCTTTAAGACATCTATTTTATATAACTATTTGTTTAATAATATGTTTTACCCTTTAACTGAAGGCTGTATCCCATACATTCAGGTTTACCGACAACAAGCTTGATTTCAATAGATAGAAATATTTATACTGTGAGTATGAAGGACAGAAAAAAACAGTTGCTGTGCTCTTTGCCCATCTGTATCTAAAACCATGGAACCAATCATTACTTAACATTTTACCATACATTTCATGCTATAAATTGGACCAATTCTATAAGGAAGGCAAGTAAACACTTTGTTACTGTATTGTTGTTGTTAAGTGCCATTGATTCAGTTCTGACCCATAGCGACTCTATAGAAGGTTTCTGAGGAGCTGCTAGTGAGCTTGAACCGCCAACATTGCAGATCAAACTGACATTGCATCTACGTATTAATCCACAGCACCACAAAAAGAACATGTGACACTGGAAACTCTGCCCTTGAAACACAAAGGTATCATGGATTATTTTATTTATTAATTCACAAGATTAGTTGTGTGCCACCAAGTCAGTTCTCATTCACAGTGACCCTGTACAGAGTTTTCTTGACTGTTAATCTTTAAGGGAACAGAAAGTTTCGTCTTTCTCCTGCGAAGCAGCTGATAGATTTGAATTACTGACCTTATGGTTAGCAGTCCAGTTAATAATCCACCACAATACCAGGGGTCCTGGTAATTCACAGGATTAGATTACATAATATCAACAACCAAAAATATTAGATCTGAACTCCTATTGGTTTCTTCCTGACTGGATAAAAAGGAGAAAGAAGAAAACCAAAGACTCAAAGAAACAATTGGTCCAAAGGACTAATGAGTCTATAAATCACAACCTGATATATCCTGAGACCCAAAGAAATACACGATGCCTCGCTAGCACTATCATCCATGTTGACCAGGGCCACAATAAGAAGTCTTGGCTAGAATGGATAAAAATGTAGAACACAATTCATATTCATTACAAAAATAAAAATAAAAACAAGACCAGTTTATTGCTCTGAAAGAGTCTGAAGGGAACTGCTGAGATTATTGCCCTAAAACACCTTCAAATTTGAAATTCAAGACACTTTTCAACGTCACCTCTCAGGCAAAGAATTGCCCTAATCTCTAAAATAGACAATAACACCTGTGAAGAATGTGTTCCTTGAAACAAGTAAGTATATGAGACCAAAAGGTTAACATTTGTCCCAAACCAAAAATGAGAAGGTAGGAAGGGTAGAGGAAAACTGCATAAAGGGACTCAAGGAACCCCAGAAGGAAATGGGAAAAGGGCTCTCACATTGTGGGGTTTGTAATACAAAAAAATATTGATTAGAAAACTAATTTGCTATATAAATTTTCACCCAAGGCTCAAATAAAATGTTGAAAAAAACTTGGATCCATGTAGACATACGAGGAATACAGTAACATATAAAAGTTCACCACAATTTAAGGAGAGTTTATTCATGTATTTTTTTTTTTTTTTTTAACATGAGTAAATTTCCTGAGAAAGCAACTACCACTTGCGTTATTAGAAATAATTTTGCTCTGATGGTTCTCCATAAACAGAGTGAACATTTTTCATTCTTTAAAAATTGAACGCTCTGCTCCTGCTACCTTAATAGTACTAGTGGAATGGAAGCTGACATGCCAAGAGCAGCTTCATTGAATTTGTAGGTTCTTGAACAGAGCAGGTCTTACTAACACAGTCTAGTTTATTTCTAAAGAACTGGGTACAAAGAAAGCCCTGAGGTCTGAGAAATGAGGAATAACATAATTATGTCCCTGTATAGTGAAGGAATTACAAGAATGAAGTTTGAATTTTGGGAATCTGCTTTTACTGAGAGATGTACCTAAACTGCAAAGTATTTGAAAGAATGGCAAATAACTATGGGGATGATATATAATGTTAATTCCAAATTTTAGTTTCCAGGTAATGGAAACTGACTCCAAGGCTCACTACCACCACCACCACCCATCAGCTGAGGACTCCTGGTGTAGTGTTGTAGGATCAGCACAGGACTTCAAACCACAAAGTCAGCAGTTCAAACTCACCAGCTACGCCTCAGAAACCCTATTCAGAATCGCTATGAGTCAGAACCAATTTGATGGCACTTAACAACAATATTATCACCATTGCTGTCAAAATTTAAGCTATTATTCCTGGTCAACTTGAATGCCATTAAAATTGCTCATGATGTTATTCTTCTAATGAAATTAATTAGGTAAAATACATCACCAATTAGTGGCTGGAAACGGCCTTATTACTGTGGTTTTTAGTTGCTGTGACATGAATTCTGACTCTGACTCTTGATGGCCCATGTGTGTCAGAGGAGAGCTGTGCTCCCTAGGGTTTACAAGGTGGTGATTCTTCAGAAACAGATTACCAGGCTCTCTTCTGTGGCTGGGTTCCTTTTAGCTAGCAGTTAAGTGCTTAACAGTTTGTGCCAACTGTTTTAAATATCTTTAGTACTTTAAAATTGACTTTTACATTCATTATTTCATATAGTTAACATAAACTTTTTACCATTTTTTAAATTCCAGCACTTCTTTTATTATCAAAAACTACATTTATCCTCAAAAGCACTTCAATTTTCATCCCTGTAGGTAGTTAAGGAGCGCTGGAAGAGTAGTGGTTATGAATTGGGCTGTGAACCTCAGAACCTCAAGGTCAGCAGTTCGAAACTAACAGCTATTCCGTGGGAGAAAGATGAAGCATTCTGCTCTTATAAAGATTTACAGCCTCGGAAACTCTGTACAGGGTCGCTATGGGTCAGAACCGACTCCATGGCATATAACCACCAGGTAGTTCAGAAGGGAAAGCAGTGCAGATAACAGTGAGGGAGCTGACTAGATGGTATTAGAGACATTGTCACCAATAAAAAGAGCTTAGCTCTCTTCCATGCAGGCAATGAAAAATGACTTAAACAGCCAAAAAGAACAAGCTTAAAAAGTTTGGTGTCCATGTTTTCATTTACAATGAGCTATATTGCTATCACATGGACTAAGTAATTGCATCAGCACAATCAATACATGATAGGACAATGTCTATATGTCTACAAGGAAGACCAGTTAATACCACTGCTGTTTAAATTTACACACCAACCACCAAAGCCAGTGGTGACTAAATTGAAGAATTCTACCAACTTTATCCATCTGAAATTGATCAATAATATACTCAAAATGCAATGATAATTACTGGCAATTAGAATGCAAAGGTTGGAAACAAAGAGGAAGAATAAGTAGTTA